AAAGAGAATGAAAGATTTGGACGAACAGATGAAGACTGAAATAAGAATAATCAGAAAAATAATGTATGCAAGGATTACCACATTGTAAATTAATATGAGACTATGAGAATGAGGCAGTCAAACTCTGATCAATTACATCATTATCCTTAGTCCTAGAAAGTGATGATGAAACACACCTCCCTCTCACAGTAGAGAGGTGGAGGGCTACAGATGTGGAATGAGTTTATATGATCAGATCTTATAACTACATCCATTGGTTTTGACTAAATGTGCTGGGTTTTGGTTACAAAGAAAGTTTCATGGTGTGTTGAGAGTGGGAGGGAGCTAAGAGGGAAAGACTGTGACATCAAAACAAAAGACAATAAAACTTTAAAAAGAAAAAAAAAGGAACCCATTACCTCCCTAGACAATCCATTCTATTTCTAGATGACTCTAATTATTAGTGAGTTTTCCCTTATGTTGAGTCTGCAACCTCTATATCCAGTTGGTCTTGGTTCTGCCCTCTGGGACCAAGTAGACCAAAGCTAATTGCTCTTCCATATGAAAGGCCTTTACATTACCTGACTAACAATAATAACAGCTAGTATTTACATAGCAGTTTAAGGTTGCAAAGTGCTTTACATATGATATCTCAGCTGATCTTCACAACAACCCAGCAAGGTAGGTATTATCCCATTTCACAGATGAAGAAATTGAGGCTTAGAGAAGTTAATTGACTTGACCAGGGTTACACAGCTAGTATATGTCTGAGGCTAGATTTGAACTCAGGTCTCCCTGACTACATCCGGCGCTCTCTCTACCATATCACTTAGCTGACTACTTGAAGACAGCCATTTTGTTCCTGACTCCTTGAGTTCTGTCTTCTCCAGTTCAAATATGCTCAGCCTCCTTAACTAATCCTCATATGATATGGTCCTTAGTCCCATTACTTCTGTAAGACTGTCCTCCTCTGGTTAAACTGAAGCCTGTCAATGCCTGTGGGTAGACTCAAAAAGTCCCAAAGACCCAAAGAATAGAGTTGCCTCATGGAAGTTTGGAATCCCTTTTTCCGCCAAATACTTTCTCTTCCTGACTGTGAGAGCCATCTTTCTAAAGAAGAACCTTCTCCCAGTTGAAAAAGACACCTCCCTTTCCCAATAAATGGCCTTAGGACTCAGTAGCCCTATTCCCCAAGCTCATGGGTTAGGATGACTCCAAACTCTTTTTCTAAGTCTTAATAGACCTAGATCACACACATTTTCCAGTCATGTCCAACACTTAATTACCCCCTTTAGGGTTTTCCTGGCAGAGACATGAGAGATTTTTGCCTTTTTCTTGTCCAGCTCATTTTCCAGATGAGGAAATTGAGGCAAACAAGGTTAAGTGATTTGCCCAGGGCCACACAGCCAGTTAAGTATCTGAGGCCAGATTTGAAACTCAAGAAGATGAGTCTTCCTGAGTTCAGGCCTGCCACTCCATCCACTGCACCACCTAGCTAATCAGTCTTACTATACTTGCCCTTTCTTGACTACATCAGGTTCTCTGTGGATGTGTGGAAATGAGCAGTATGTCAATGTAGTTTCAGACCTCTGTGAATGGTTCGAGGACTGAATTAACCTACTGAGAAGTTACACATTTTCAACCAACTAATCACATTTTATTGCACTTCACCTAGACATCAATATAATGGCATTAACTCTTTGGTCCCTACAATCTGTGGGAAAATGGTCTGCTCTAACTTTAGGACTGTGAGAAGTCCATTTGCTTAAGTAGAAAGGCTAGTGATGAGATTAAAAGAAGCATAGAAAAGTTAGAAAAAATAATTTTCCCTAATAACTGTCCCTTTTCTTGTTCTCCATGCAACAGAATTCATTCTTTGATATAAATCTATGGGCCTAGTACCAGTTCATGTGACCTAAAAACTATTCCAAGGTGTAAAGGTATATTTTCTCACCCAGGAACACCTCTGCACTTTCATCAACAATCCCAAAGAGCTTCAGCTAATTGTTTTTTATCCTACAAGAGGTCTAATGTATGCCAAGGTTAAATACCTAAAATTTATACCTTGGCTACAGGGAATAATGGAAAGGTTGGTGCAGCTTGTCCAGTCTAAGGAGGAATAAGCAAATGCCAGGTAAAAAATGGAAGTGCATGTTGACAAGTGTAGTAGTGACTAGTGTGAATTTCCTCAGTTCCCCACATTCTTATGGGGTTTTTATATTTAAATGTTTCCCCCACCTTCTGGCTCAAGATAACAGACCAGCAAGTCAGCCACTTAACTTTTTTAGGGTTCACTTACCCCACTTGTGGAATGGGCCTGATTATTCAGTCAATAGAATTCATTATGTTTCTCCAAAAAAATTCATTCATCCTCCAAATATGTCTATACCTGTTGGCATCACAATGGTCTCTCCAGTCATCCAGGTGTATAACCTTGGGATCACCATCATATCCAGTGTGTTGCCAAGTCTCGTTAAGCCTACCCTTTGCAACATTCCTCATAGCTATGCCATTTTTACATACACAGCCTCTATGTTAGTTCAGACTCCCATTGCTTCTAGCCTGGATCATTGTGATATCTTCTTAACTACAGTCTCTCCTCTCTTCAATGTCCTCTACAAAGCTGCCAAATTGACACTATTAAAACACAGATCTGACCACGTAAATCCCCTACTCAAAGATCTTCCGTGGTTCCCTACCATCTCTATGACAAAATACAAACCCAGCCTACATTTAAGCCTTCCACGGGTTAGCTATGAAATCATTTCGTATTACTTTAATTCATATTCCACTTAAGCTCACTTGCTATCCGATCCTTAGACATAATGTGCCATCTTCTTGCCCCCATGCCCTTGAGCAAGCAGTCTCCCATGTCTGGAATGCAACCCTCTTCACATTTGCCTCAGAGAACCCCAGCTTCCTTGAAAGCACATCTCAGGTGATACTTTCGACCTGAGGCCTTTATGGATTCCTCCCTTCCCCCCAGTCCCCTGTTATTACCACTCTCTTCTTCTTCTTGAAATGATTTTCATGCTCATGTACATATTATATTCTCTCCACACCCCCCCTCCTCCCCACCCCCGTCCATGTAATGTAAACTCCCTGAGGTCAGGCACTGTTTTGTTTTCATCCTACACTTTGCACAGGACCTCACGAAGAGTAGGTTCTTAAGAAATGCTTGTTGGATTGAATGCCTCTTGCCCTCTCACAGGCACAAGGCTAAATGAGATGGCTCAGGGGACATGCTCTAAGCAATGTCTCCAGGTGGCATTGTTGTCATGGTCACATTTGCACCAAATGGTGCTTTTAATCCTCATCAGGATCTCTTTCAGGTGGTCCTTTTTTTTTTTTAGAAGGTCCAGGCCCTAAAAAGAAGTTAGTTCTCTCCGCCTTACTTCCTACCTTTCAGAGCCTAACCAGCCTACCTGAGCCCATTCATCCCAACCAGGCTACCTGAGCCTTTCTACAGCAATGCCAAACTGGTCATGTAGAAACTCCAACTATTCAGACAGCAGAATTCCTACCACAAATGTAGCAGCTAAGTATTGTAAGACTCCTAACTCCCCCATCTGTGTTTTGCCTCCCAAGAGGGAAAATAATCTTCGCAGAGATTCCCTTGTCTGGCAGGCAAATTCTAAACCTTACTGGCAACTGTGGCTCTGTTTTCCAAACCAAACAGCTATGGAGCTGAGAGTCAGGGCTGCCTGGGATGTACCGAGGAGGGAACTAACCTCCTTCCTACTTTATTAAATCACTCTCTGTGGAAACTCAAAGCTGTGAAATAGATAACGCTGTAATTGTTGTCCGTGTATCATTGATAATGCTAGTGTAGGGTTTGGGGAATTAACAGCAGAAGAGGATTCCTAGGTAAAATCAGCAAACTTGCTGGAATGACTTACTGCTGGTGTTTGCTCTTCTTTGCTGTACTGAAGAACATACCAATAAATAGGCTGACTGAATAGCCTCACTGTAGTTCAAAACAGTATTTTTTCTAACTACATTAAAGAGGGTGAAAAATTAAAACTTTCCAACTTTATAGTCACGAGTTTGGGTTCCCTGTGAACACACATGGGAGCTGAGGAACAATTTTTCCCCCTTGGGTCCTGCCAAATCATTATTCCTCCCCTTTCCATTATTTGAAATCTTCCTTTCATTTTTCAGGGCTCTTTCTAGTCATCAAGCCTGAACCCTGTATGGTCACAATTGGCAATAAACCAATAATATGTGATGATAACAGTGAAGCCTAAATGATAGGCACCCCTATCGACTGGCCTTGATGTCTGTCTGGGGTTCTCAACAGGCAAGATTTAAATGGTTCATTTTATTTTTAACTTTCACTTTTCCGCATTTCAGCAATGTCAGGCAAAGAGGTATGGTTTTACTATCAGAAAGAATCATGGTGCAGAATAATTTATGACTTCAGCTTGGGCTTTCAAAAAAGCTATTTCAAATCTTCACTTTGATTTGGCTATATCAAAACTGCTCACAATAACAGCGGTGCTTTCTTGTAACTAGACTATGCTGTCTGCGCCTCTGGATCTTGAGCTTCCTACTTGTACCAGAAAGTAACTTTGGAAAGGAACCGAGTTGTTTAGAGAAGCAAAACCAAGAATTTTTTCATTAACCCTCCATGCCTCCCCCCAAACACATAGCCAGTCCACTACCACCCTTCTGATTGGCCAACAAGTAGAATCTAGCATTTTGGAGTTGAAAGGGATGTCAGAGGTCACCTGGTCCCATCCTCACCTGGTTCATATATCCCGTCCATGGCATCACTGACAAGGGGCCGTCCAGTCCCCTACTTGTAAACCTCTGGAGACAGGGAACTTACAAATATACCAAAGTCAATAGACAGTGGCCAGAGGACAGTGCTGCTTGGGTTGGGGGGATCTGTCTGAAGGTCTTTCTGGCCCAGTTGGCATCTGAGGGCCAATTTGGTTTTGGTTTGAAACAAGTCAAAAGAGGATAGAAGGGAATTTGAGTGAAGAACCACAATATGTCCTCGACTGAGGGAGTCTTAC